GTCGGTCGAAGATTTTGGAGGAGACGGTCTTGATTACCGACCTTGTTTCACAACAACTAATCTATTTGATAGTGTTGACGAAGCTGTTGAATGGGCAAAAGATATTGCAATCATATGGGGTTTCACATTGGTCATCTCGAGACACGAAAAAGAAGGAAAGAATAGGTTGTTGAGGTGTGATCGGGGGGAACGTTACAGAAGCCGTGTAGGAAAGGTAGTTAATGCTATTACGAGAAAATCGAAAACTAAATCGACCAACTGCCTTTTTCAGTTAAGAGTCAAATTTGATTCTCAATAAAAAAAATGGTATATTTCGGTTCCTTTAGATGATGAGAAGGGATTTCATAATCATGCGTTGGCTGTTAATCCCGAGGGTCATTGACAGATGAGCGGGCTTAGCGGTCCGTCCAAAAAGATTGTCCGTGATATGACTTCTGCTCAGGCAAGACCGGCATCTATTTTGGCTGCGATTCAGGAGCAAAACCCTGTAGACAACGCTACTTGTAAACAAGTGTACAACTATAGATCTAAAGTGCGGAAAGATGATCTGCAGGGTAGAAATGTGGCTGACCAACTTCTGAATTTGGCTAAGGCCAACAACTATATATATTACGTAGATGTTGATCCGAACACACAGGCATTGACACGTGTCTTCATGTCGCATCCTCAATCAGCCTGTCTGTTCCGGACATATTACTGGTATGTCGGTATAGACTCCACGTACAAAACCAACAGGTATGTTATGTTACTTTATAAATATCAATTTAATGCGAATATTGTTAGTATGTTTGAATAGGTTATTTGATTCTATGTTGCTTTCATTTTTATAGGTACAAGATGCCATTGGTGGAAATGATTGGAATGACACCGTGCAATAAGAACTTCTTAATTGCCTATGCAATTATTAAGGACGAGACCGAGTACAACTATAATTGGGTCCTACAGCGGTTGAGACTTCTGTGACCTTCTGATGTACATCCTACAGCCATTGTCACTGACAGAGAGTTGGGTTTGATTAATCCTATTCGGATGAATTTCCCTCAGTCGGCCCACTTACTTTGCACGTGGCACATCAACAAGGATGTGGAAGACAATGTGTATCGAAAAGCAAAAAATAATAAGCTCTTCGCTCAGAAGTTTACGCACGGCAAGTGGAAGAAGGTTGTCGAGGCGAGCACGTTGGAGAAATACCAAACTGCCGTAGATGATTTGAAGGCTACATACATACAATTTACTGACGTGCTACGCTATGTGGAGCAGACATGGTTAGTCCACAAGGAGAAGTTTGTGAAAGTGTGGACGAACACTTTTTTACATTTCGGCAACACAACGTCGTGTAGGGTGCAGAGTGCCCACGCTACGTTGAAGCGGTGGTTGAACACGTCGACCGGTTCGCTCGACACGGTGTGGGAGAAGATTCACAAGGAGGTTGAGTCTCAAATGACTCAAGTCAGGTATATTCCGTAGGTTATACATTTTTACTGTGTTATTATTACGTTATTTATTTGGTTCTAATGTTATGTAATGTATTACCAGGGTCACGCTGGAGTCTTCGAGACTTAACATGCATACGGGTTACAAGGAACCCATTTTCGCGCCGTTGAGATTGCGGGTCTCGCATTACTGTATGGATTTATTGAATAATGAGCTTAAGAGGATGCGAGAGTTGAGCGAAGAAGTTGCCGATCGCTGCGGGTGTGTACTCTGGTACACTCATGGACTTCCTTGTGCCTGTGCGCTAAGGAAGGCACTCACTATAGATATGGAAATTACTACCCAATTCATCCACAGGTTCTGGTGCACACTAGAGCTGACGGACCCAGGTACAATTACGAGATTGATTAATTTATAGAGTGTGTTGTTTAATTTTATAAATAATTTTTACGGACAGGTCAACAGAGTGCACCGGCGAGCGGATGGACGGATCGTGACTATTTTTATCGCCTTGCTGCGGAGCTTGAAGCGGCCGATCCCGCGACGCTGCGGTACGTGAATCAGTTCATCGACTCGCAACTTCACCCCGACCAACAAGGTTACAAAGAACCTAAAGTGAAGGATAATCCGAGAGGTCGGCCCAAGAAGCCCAATTCAACAAAGCGCGATCTATCGAAATGGGAGTACAGTGAAAGACGCCGTAAAAGCACTTCCTCGTGTGCTCCATCGCAATCGGGGTACACCGAAACAGGTCGCCGGGTGAGGCGTAAAAGCACTTCTTCGTGTGCTCTACCGGTATGGGATTACAGAGAAAGAGGTCGTCCGGTGGGGCGTAACAACAGTTCTTCGTGTGCACCGACAAGCTCATCTTCTCAACATTCAGATGAGCCGACAGGTGATTTTTTTTTCTTATTTATTTGTTTATGTTGAACGATAACTAATTATGTTTGTAAGTTCGATTATCTAATTTGTGACGTGAAATTATTATGATATTACAGATACTTTCTCGACGGTTTTCTACGAATATCCGCATTATTGGAGAATTCCCTACGTAATCCACCCTTACATAGAGAGCTATCTGGATGTGACGCCGGATGGGAACTGCGGATTTCGGGTGGTTGCGAGTTACATGCACATGAATCAGTTGAGGTGGCCAGTGGTCAGAAGGAACATTGCAAATGAGATTGTAGCCAACAGACAGTTGTACGATCCTGTGTTTTACTATGAAACCGACCGAGCACTCGATCGGATAAGATGGGAAGGGGGGCCTTGTAACGAGGAGCATTGGATAGAAGTTGTAGGTGACTTCTTTGCTATTGCTACAGTA